TTCTTCAAGAAGACTACTCTGCACAAAAAGTACAGGCTATGGTGCTTTTATAGTTAATTTTAGAGAACTGGACTAGATGTGGATGTCTTGTTATAATGCATATACAGGGATTTTTTTTTCTTCTTTTTACAAGTTCCAGCTAGAGTAGTTTAAAGGTTTTATTGTGTTGTTCTTTAGATTAAAAAAAGTGTGAGCAGAAATCAGTATGTTGTCTGTTTCCCAATCACTTAAACACTTAGAAATTTGCTCAGTGCAAACATATTTGCCTTGAACAGCCTAATAGTTGCATTCAAAATTTAAAAAGTTAGTGAACAGAATATTAGCAGGCTTCAGATGTTAGAAATAATAAAAGAAACCAACCAACTAACTAATTAGGGTGGAAGATCTTAGGATAGGATGACAGTAATTGATTGAATAAGGCAGGCTAAATCTGTTTTGCCTTCCCAAGATCAAGAAAGTTAAAATCGGAATGTGGGTAGCAGTCCCCCCAGTGGCATTCAGCTTATTCAGTTTGGTGTAGTGTGACATGTATGATTTTCTACATGTAGGACATTTTATTCTGTCAGCCACGAAGAGCACAGCTCCAGAGAAAGAAGAACTCGCCATGAGGAATTGAGTCTCTTAAATGAGATCATGAGTGAAACATAAGACCTGCTTTCTAACTGATGTGATAATATCCTCTTGCACCAAGAATGGTCCTGGAATAAAGGAATTCTTTTCAGCATAGAAGAAAGCAGGTATTGATAGTCAGAAGTTTTCTTTCATCCTGTCATCATAAAACATAAGGCTAACCTCTGGCCATTGTGATGCCCCTTTGCTACACTTAATGTATTTACATAAATGTCTTTCTTGGGGGAGAATAAAGCAAGACACAGCCACACTTGCCGTCTCGGAAGTGCTGAATAGAATCAATTCTGTAAACTGATTACTGACTCCTGCCTATACAGCCAGCATGTAGTTAGCCTTCACCACAGTCATGTCACTGCTAACGTTTGTCATATTGGTTCAAAGGACAGAATTTTTTTCTGCCAAGCTGCTTTTGCGACAATTGGTCTTTTAACATGTCCTCTTTCAAAGTTTTTCTAAGGGCACTTTGCCTTAAGTGACCTTCATGAAGTTCCCATCAGCCATTTTTTTTCTTCCTATGAAATCTCAGTGAGCAGTGGTCCTGCCCTCTACTGAGCTCTCAGTTGCTTCCCTCAGATTGCTATAAGGCACTCTAGCATATCTTTGAGGTTGTTAATAAAGACAGTAAACAGTATTGGCTCTATAATGGATCCCTGAAGAAAGCTTTTAATTGCTAGTTACCAGTTGTACTCCATATGACAGGTCATCACCTCTTCAACCTTACAGTTCAGCCAATTTTACAGACACCTTATCTAATTTTCAATTCAGATCTCAAACCTTTGGCAATAAAGAGATGAGATACCATCTCAAATACCTTGCCAAATTCAAGGTGTACACCTGCTCTCCCTTTATTCTTACAGCCAGTCATCTCTTACAGATGTAGTGAGGTTGGTAAAGCAAGATTTTTCCACAGTAAATGTGTGCTAATTGCTTTCAGTCACCTTGTCTATTAGGTGGCTGGACATTATTTCCAGGATGATTTGCTTTGTGACTTTGGTAGGGAAAGAAGGAAGGCCTTTATTGGGTTTATGTAACTTGTTTGTTTGTTTGTTTTAATTTAAATAATATCAGAAGAGAGTGGAACAAATCAATTGGCCTAGGGATACTCACTTTCCAGAAAGGAAACCAGTAAAATGAAAATGAAGCAACTAGTCAAAAAATCTTCAACTGTGCACTAGAGCCAGCAGAAAAGAAACATTTGTTGGATACTGTTAAGAAAATACTGTAGCTGACACCCAACTGAAATATGTGCTACAATTTGAAAAAAAAAGCTAAAATAAAATAGTTCCAAACCCCCCCCCCCCCATCCCCAAAGAGTCTTAAGAAGCTCGCTTTAGAGACTGCAAAAGTTTTAATGGCACTTACATGGAAAAGGTCAGCATTTAAAACTTGAGCTTGCACTTGCATTGCTGAGAAACAGGTAGGACCAGTAAACAGAGACAGGAGAAATGCAGGTGGGAAGTTGAGAAGCCTAAAAAGGGTCTTGAATAGTTGTTTTCAAAGCTTAAGCTATTACAGTAAAATTTTGCTTAAATAGAGTGAAAAAGAAGACAATAAGGAAGTTAATAGGTTTGCTCAATGATAACAGTGTAAAATGATACACTGGATTTACAAAGCCTAAAAGAACAGTCTTTTCCTTGGTCAATATTTCATATTTGATGATCATTAAGATGTCTTTCAATCCAAACCATGCTGTGATTGTATGTTTCCATGCTAAATGGAAGATGAAGACGCCAACAACTTGTGTATGCTTTGCAGCAGATAGATCAAAGGCATTAGACCTATTTGAAGTATTTGTACAGCAATTATGAGGTCAAGTAGAGTAGTTGCTTGTAAATGTATTGAAATATGTATATATATTGAATATATATAATGAATATATATTTATATATATATTTTCAATATATGTAAATATATTGAATATATATATATATATATTCTTCACTCACAGAGGTGTGAGTGAAGAACATGAACTTCAATATATTTACAAGCAGTAAGTATGAAATTAACCTAACTGTTAGCAGCCAATGGACTGGCAGTTTGCTGCTATAACTCCCAACTGCACAATGGGCTCCAGAGGGAGCTGCAGTGACATGGCTGCTTCCATACCTTGAAAATGGTAGTCAGTTTTTAGGAAAAAGAGCGTGAAAGGGAGAAAGTAAAAAAAAACCGAAACCAAACAACCAGAAAAGAGCACCATAGAGAGGACTACCACTAAGCACAAATCAATGCAGTTTTACTGCGGAAGCATTAGTGTGGCTTCTGTAAAGGAAAATCCTGCTTCGTTAACCTGCTGGAATTGCAGAAGGGTGACAAAACTGTGTGGTAACAGTAATCTGATGAGTATTTTTTCAATTGCCGTTAACAGAGCTCCACATGAAAGGTTATAAAGAAATTTTTTTTGCTCTGGGATTGGAGGAAAGGTCCTTTTAGCAACTGGGAAAGCAGAAGAAATAAAGAATGTGCCACTTCCAGGATGAAAAATTGGAATCACACTGCACAAACTGTTAGGCTTCTATTCTTTCTTGAATAGCATCTGCTTTTGCCTCTGTGGGAGGCATAGTACTGCTGATGGTTGGACTTGGCACTGGCTAACCCATGTGGGCATTTATAACATTCATCTAGCCATTGATTGCGTGAGTTGATTCTTGTATTGCACATAGAAATTTTTGGTTTGGACTTGACTAAAATTTTTCCATCTTAGATAAATCATAATTTCAGTTGGAGATTATTTCATAGATAAATGAATTTATTTGGAGGCACTTCAGGTATTCTGACTATGAACTTCCTCTTAACTTATTTAATATAACTAGTTTACTTCTGCATGTCTTTCATCAACCAAAAAGAAAAGATATGTGTAGAAGTTCACTCTTAAAAATCTTGTACAATCACTATAGTGCATGCTTGTCAATTAGTGTTTACAGAGGCAGTACATTTGCTCATAAACGTGTTCATTCAAATAATGATTTTAAAGTTGAAAACTAACTGTTTCAGAAGATAGAGATTCAGGCAGGAACTATGTCATGTTGATTCGAGTCTTTAATTTCATAAGCAATGTTTTTTCAATGAAATATTTTGCCATTCTATGCAAAAAGCCAACATGCTGTGAAGACTTAAGACAATGTGGAGACAAAAGCCACTGAAGTCTGTAATAGGAACTGATGTTGACTGAGTTTTGGAAGATGAAAGGACAGCAAAGAATATCAACCTGTGAAGGCAGATAAGTGATCCCAAACATAGCTGGATTTCCCATGTGTCATGCTAAGCAAGTTAGTTTAACTTTTCATGTTTATAATTTTCTCTGTAATTTATGTTTTACAGCTGAGTCAGAGGTGCACTTGACTTGCAATGTGCTTTAATGTAGTGTGTATATTAAATGACTTCTTTTTTAAGTCCTTTCCTTAAGTTGGCAAATATTTTGGCCAGATTTTTTTAGTGCCTTATTTCAGATGGCAAAGTAGGGAAAAGCATAAATTTTCTGTGGAGTAGGTGCTGCTGTTTGGAGTACAACTGAAATAAGTGAGAACACTAGCAGTGAAACTTTCCCAATAGAGCTAGAATAATGTGTATTTGTGCATGAAATGCATTTATATTTTAAGCAGAAGCTACCTATTAAATGACTGTGCTCTGTTTTGTGTATTGTATGACCTTTGGCTGAAACAGGTGTGGGTTTTCTTGCTGAAATAGTGTACAACTATATATTTAGAGAATATGTCAGAAAACACAAGTTTAAACGAACAATTTAAATAATGTCTTTCTTTCTAGCATTTCCCAATTTGACTTTGAAACTTTAGTATTGGTATCCTGGCAACTTTATTTATATGCAATTTTATTAAATTGAAGAAAGAGTAATTCAATTTATTGTGCAGAGCTTAGCTGGTTGATATTACAGAATAAACTATGGTAGTAATATGGTAGTCCATCAGGGCTGGAAAATGGGAGGAATGATTTTGTTTATAAGTTTCTTGAATAGTTGCTAGATCATAAGACATATCTTCATGAGTTTGGCTGGAAATTTCCCCTGAGACAGAGTATTTATCTACCTCTTAATAGGATTTTACCTCCTACCAGTCTTCTTTTAATCTCAAATATTTTCTTGCCTAAAAAAGATGGGCTGAAACTTCTTAGTGTATGTTACAATCAGCGTTGTGTCTGAATTTTGGAAATTCATATGATTTACACATTTTAAAAAGCTGTTGTATGAAGGACTCCTTACATTTGAAGTAATGCTAAGTGTTCAAATTAGAACTAATTCCTGGGTGTCGATAACTTTATTCCCAGTAATATATTGGTGTGGGTTTGGATTAATTTCTGAAATCATTTTAGTGGCATCTGTGTGATTATACCTAATTTTTTTATTTCCTCTTTTGTAGACTGAATCTTAAGAAAGAATTGGATCAGATGAAAATACACCATTCTGTAAGTTCACAATACAGGAACTATACTTACAGCAAAAAATGAAGGGTATAGTATTTTATACCTTTGTATGTAGTTTGAGTGGGTTGAGCCTGGCTGGATGCCAGGCAGGTACCAAAGCCTCTCTATCACTTTCCTCTACAGCTGGACAGGGGAGAGAAAATATAATGAAGGGTTCATGGGCTGAGATACTGTCATGGGCAAAACAGACTCAGCTTCAGGATATTAATCGAATTTATTACTAAAAAATCAAAGGAAAAGTAAAAAATAATATTAAAACCACCTTCTTCTCATCCCTCCCTCTTTGCCAGCTCTACCTCCTTCCCCCCAGCAGCGCTTGGAGACAGGGCATGGGGGTTATGGTCAGTTCATCACATGTTGTTTCTCCCACTGCTCAGGAAGGGGACTCCTTCCCCTGCTCCAGCGGGGGTGTCTCCCGTGTCTGCAGAGTTGTTCCTCTCACATATTCTGTCTCTGCTCTTCTCTGCCCACAGTTACATCTACAATCACTTTTTTTCCTTCTTAATTATGTTACCATGTTACTGTCAACGCTGATTGGCCCAGCCTTGGTCAGCAGTGGGTCCATCTTGAAGCTGCCGGGGATTGGCTGTGCTGGACATGGAAGAAGCTTCTCGTAGCTTCTCACAGAAGCCACTCCTGTAGGTCCTCCTACTACCAAAACTTGGCCACTCAAACCCAGTACAGTAGTCTGTCAGATTATGAATTTTTTATATAAGGTTATTTTTTCTCCAAAGATTGATTTCTTTTTCATGAATGTGTATTTTGTAATCATATGGCCATGCATGTGAAAGTATGTTTGCTCATTATTTGTCTACACATCTATTAAATCTGACAATTTATATGAATAAATACACATTAATACATTTGCAACTAATATGTATATTCTGCCTATTTATGAAATATACTGATACAGAAATTTCACGCTTATTCAGACATCTCTTTTAATTCTAGTCTCACAAAATATCTGAATTTGAAAATAATCAAAATGGTGAAATTATAAGAATTGATCATGAGTATCTTTTCTACCTTTATAATCTTTGCAGTAGTTGATGGTTCTGTGAAGATGAGTCTTTGTCAGTCAGATAGGTAATATATTGCCACTGCCTCTCCATCACTCCTCTGATTCTGCGTATTATGAGCTGTTCCTGAATATTCTGGGAGAAATATTCAAGAGTGCATAATTACAGTCCATCTGGACATTGCATCTGTGGTGAATTCTTCATGCACAGTATTGTGCAAAGGAAGTAAGTAGAAAACTTGGAGAAGTACTCTACACATTCTTAGCAGTAAAGCCTTACCATTCTTTATTGCAGTTTTCTCCTGGTGGCTGTTTTCTATTTTTTGTGAAAATGTTGACTACTTGAATGAAAAAATACAAATTCTTTTTCCTTAACTTTAAAATTCTGTCTTTAAAATTAGGTGGGAGTATCAAGCTGCTGAAAACTGAAAGTTGCCTTTTCCTTTCGTACTATTTATGTGTTGTGTTCATAGCCACAGAACCGGATGTTTAAATACTGACTTTAAGAAGCACTTCTTTGGTTTTTTCCAATTCAGTAAGTCTTTGCAGAAAGAGAAGGGGAAAGATAACCAATGGTGAGAAGGAGTTAGGGGCCTGCTGAGCAGTATCTGTAATTTTCCAAAAAACAGTCAGAACTGCCAGTTCTTGACATGTTTAGTCTTTTAACAATTAGAATTTTCTTCCTTTTTTTTTTTTGTTTTCTTTTCCGGTAAACATATGCTCTTTTAAAAATGTGTGGGTGGATGCACACTTCTGATTTTGTAATTAGTACAATGATTAGCTATTCTTTTCTGGGGACTGAGAAAAATGTTTAAATTACTAGTGAAGTGTTCCAGGCAAATTTTATCTACCTTTTTCAGTCTGTGTTGTTCTGGTTATCATTTAAATGAAAAGGAAATGTCTCATAAGATTCAAGTCCAAAGATATATATTAACAAAACCTTCCTATTAACACAAAAGACTGAGATGATTCTAGCTGTTTCAAATTTTTTACCAATTGAAGTGTAAGAAAATAGTTGCTCACATGCTGTCTAAAAAGTAATTTCCTTATTGTTCCCCTTGAAAATCGAAGGGAGTTGCAGTCATGACACATGTATTTTTTGAGATTTTCTAGAAGGTTGCACCATAATGACTGAAGCTGGATGTCCATCTTTGAGCATAAAGGAATGTAATGTTAAAAATCCTTACTCATGTTCTCAGAAAGTGCATATGCCCTCTGCCTTAAAAAGGAGGTTAAATGTCTTCTTCCTAAATAAAAATACAACCTCATGTCTGTTATCAGTAATTTGCTGGGAATCCAAACTTGATATGGTGTAAATACATGTCATTCATAATTTCAGTATGTTTTACTTTATAAAAGGAAACCTGATGTCAATTTCCCCAGTTTATGAACGATGTTGGAATTCACTTTCACCTTAGCAGATAGGTACCTGTTTTCATCAAGCATTCTGAAATCAAGGGATAAAATCTGTAAAAAGAGACTGAGCTTTCCTGCATTAAAATTGTCTGTCTTTGTTGGGTATCACTTGTGTTTGTCAGAAGAAGTAATGGATGGTTTTGTTGTTCTACCATACAACTTTTCAGATCCTGTTGGTCAAAGATGAAGTGGGTCAAGGGAAAAGGAAACTGTTCCTGCCATTCCCAATTTCTTTCCATTCTTATTCTGTTGCCCAGTTATTACTGGTAGTCATCAAATCCAAATTCACTATTCATGCTATTTGTGCCCTTATTTGTTTATGAAGGTAAAGGATGTGTTGGTAGGTAGTTATGCCATTTCCTCCAAAAGCAGGAGAGTAGATCCATCAAATCCTATTCAGAAAAATAGCAAATGCCTTCTTTAGAAGCAGTGCACTGTTGGCCTGCTGTTTCTCCAAGGAGGCAGTTTGAAGACCTCTTTCATTCTGAGACTCCTGAATATACTGTGTCCTCAGTATATAGGCATGGGGCATTCCCTCTGGTCTTCACCCTGGTGTTTCCCACCAGAAGTTTCTTTCTACCCAGGAGAATGAGTGCCTACCACTGGAGTCAGTAACACAGTGGCTTTGTGCACCCTGGAGCCTTTTTTGTTAGGGAAATCCTTTACCTGGCGTGTACTGCACACAAAAATGTCATTCCTTTGATGGTTTGTATAGGTTTCTTTTTAAGTGACTATGACAGTGCTTTATTGTGTCGTTTTTTTTTTTAAGGGTGTTTTTTTTCTTTGTGTAAGCAAGCGTTCTACAAATACTATAGTGTACTATAGTTTCACAGTTCAAGTACCATTTTGGCAGTGGTGTTGAACTAAATCATCAGATTTGATGACTATTAATAAGGAATTAAGTTTTACGTTCTAAGGCTGACAGTTAACTATGTTTTCTCAGTGGGATGTAACTGTGCTTATGTAAGACCATGGTAATTTGATGACTGAAGATAGTTGGCTTTATGACTTGTGGGTCTATTCCTTGAGGGAGAAGATGTTATTTTTTTATGTAGAAGTATGACAGGTAGAGCATATCTTGCTGGGTAGACTGATATAATGTATCTTTCTGCTATCCTAGACGGACAGTTACAGGTGATGCTGTTTCACTGCCTCGCTAACCAATTCCTAAGAACAATTGCATAACAATTAGAAGGGAGGAGGGGAAAAGGGGCTTGAATGGGCCATATATTTTCTGCTCAATAGAAAGGGTTAAGTTTCAGTGACCTTTGGCTACACTTCAGTTTATGTTACTTGTGTCTCCTTTGGTAATACTGAACATGTATAGTCTTTTCTATCCCTTTTGCAGTGGTATTCTTTACTATCTGCATATAATATGTCTATTTATAGAGTTTTAAATTGCATTTTAATACATCCACATAATAAACATAACACCTTGTGTGCTTTGATCAGTTTCTTTGGCTATGGGAAATAATTTTTCTTTTCAGTGGAGTACAGTAAATGCTGATATAAAAGCTACAACAGGCATTCAAATGAGTGAATATTTAGAAAAAGATGAAAAGCATGTTCATATTATCTTTGTGTGTTACTTAAAGAATGTTCTAAATGTATGCAGTACCACTGTGCTGGGGGACTGTAGTCTGAAGTAACATGGGAACTAACATATTAATATCAAGGTAAAGGTACATATTCCCCAGATGCATAGTTTTACCTTTTTCAGCTTTTATTATCTTTAGAATAGTGTTCCATTTACTTCATGAATACAGAAGTATTAATTGGCCATGACATGTTCCAAAGACAAAAGAAAGGTCTAATTCACTCTAACAAACTTGTTAGTCACTGTTTATATCAAGAGGATTGTGAATCTACAGAGAGTAACACTGTTTTCTTCTACACTTGCTTTGTTTATAAATCAAAAGTTTTTAAGTGACCTGCAGTGTCTGCTTGTAGTTTAAAATATTGCTTCTAAAGCAGACCTCCACCATGTAGCGCAGATATTTATCCCTTAAGATTAATTCTTTAAGTTCGTTTGGGGGAAAGAAGGACCAAAAAAGAAATACTAATATTGTGGTGCTTTTAGAGTATTGGGATTTATTTGTTCTATAATGCAATATTTCATATTCTAAGATGAAATCCTTCTGATGTGTGTAATTGCTCATTTCTAAGAGCAGTGGGCAATTTGTGAATGCTAAACTCTTGATTTCTGAATGACCACGTGTATTGGAACTTTTAAGCGTTTTTTTCAATGAATAAGTCTGATTTTTAACTCGGGATTTTTTAGTATCTAAAGTGTATAGCTGTGATGCTTAGATTTGATTCGGCTGTTATTAGCTGTATCAATTTCTAATTGTTATGATCTCACAGTATTTCAGTCGAATGATTTGTGTGATTTATCTAGTGAAGTACATGATCTTTAACTTAACAAAAACCAAGGTTTAAACTTTTCATCCATCCTAATTCAGTTACTGTTTGCTTTGTTCACCAATCACTCTGATCCTCCTAGCAGGGGACAAGACCTAGAGAACAAAACTGATAGTGACTGTGTAGATAAAACGGCAATGAATTCTGCTTTTAAGGCATAGAGGGAATAGTCTGTAAAAGAATAAAAATTGGAATGAAAGTACAGTGTCTTTAACCCCCAGATCTATTGTGCCTTTGAAAAGCTTGTACTCTGAAAAAAACATACTGTGATGCTACAGAGATTAATAATTATGTGACAGAACACTTTGAAGAGAGGTCACTTTAGAAACTGACCAAAAAGCTTGTTAAGAAAATAGACCACATTATAAATAATTACAGAAGTAAAGAATGCATTTCCTTAAAATGTCTATGGATTGTTTTAGTGAAATACTAGGTGTCATAATGTATTTTATTTATTATATTATAGAGATGTGTTATTTATTTTCTGATAGAGCCACTTTTTAAACTTAGTGAAGATAATGGGGTCAAGGGTAATACTCCAAAGAGATATATGAGAGAAGTTTCTCATGAGATGCTACAGAATGTAAGATACCAACCCCAACAAACAGATCTGAATTTTATAAAAGAATCATATATATATATACATATATATATGTATATATATGTATGTATGTATGTATACTTAAGTGTCAGTACTCACGAATTTAAGCCATCATTTTCCTTCAAAATTTAAAAATGTGGCTTTAAGAAATTTTGCTCAGAAATTAATTCTAGGGAAGTAGCTGTGAATGTTATGTAAGATAAACATGGATCGTGTCAGAAAAAATTAAAAGAGTATTTAGGGGTGTAATGCTAAAAGCTAACAGATTATCTAAATTGTAAATATCATTTTACCCCTTAACTTCAGAAACCTTAATACCTTTGCTGGGTATTTAACTTGAGATGATATCAGGTGTTAATATCCATAGAGCTTCTCTACAGAATGGAATTGATGCATAATAATGATAAATTCACTGTTTGTTGTATTTAAATTTTAGCACAATGTTTCATGTACAAATATTTTCTACATGTGTGCGTCTATCACTTTTTACAGGATAGTACTATATGCATGTAGTGTTCTCTAGCTTAACAAATAATGGTATGTATTTTATCTTTATTGCTTAACATTCTACAGGCTTTGCCTCATACAGTGATGGGATGTTCTTAACTAGTTGGTATTTGTATTGATACTTGTAATATACACAAGTAGTTTAGTATGTTAACAGGTGTTCACTTAAGAGGGCTCACTTGTATTTTACCATATGTTTTGTTTGCTTGCAAAGAAAAACCATCCTTCAAACAGTATCATGCCTTTTGTTTGTCATTTTACAAAACTATTTGTTTAATTACTTATAAATCTTTAAAAGCATGCTTAAATTGAATAAACACAAATCTATAACGTTGAATGTCAGTTCAGGTATGTCTATTTATTTTTTATCTGTGAATTAACTTGTAGGAAGTATGGTAATTTACAGCAGATGATGTGATTGCATATACTTGTAACACTTGCCATATGGTCAGGCAATGAAGGCTGTCATCTCGTTATTACTGAATGACAAACATCATGTTAAAATAATAACACACAGAATAGGAAGTGCTCACATTCATTTATCTTAAGGTAGAGTGAGTAATTGAAATAATATGAATGCTACCATCTGAAATGTCACAGTTTATGCTTGCTTATCATCTGTATTTCAGAACTATAATTTTGTTTGCCAGGTACTACATAATTTTTATCTCTATGGATATACAGAGTTATGATGGTACCTTAGGGATAGGTGTAGAAGCTATTTATTGTTTATTTCCTTCCAGCTGTCATGCATGACTTTAAGTGCTACTGAGTGCAAAAGGTTCCTTTAAAGAACTGAGAAAACAGTAGCAGAATCTCAGTTTAGGAAGATGATTGAAGAAAGGTATTGGTATAGCACATTGACATAGGGGTGGAATGTACAAGCAATGATTTTAATTATAACCCTTTGTTTCACTAAAGCGTTTGAAAAAAAATCCCTTTTATTTCTACTTTCACCCATTAACTTTATGTAGCCATAATGTGTTGTCTCTTCATATTAAAGATTTCCTATCAAACTCATGTGTTTAGTATCCAGTTCACAAATACGTATGAAGTTTGAGCAGCTCTTGTTCTAATTTGCCCTGTACATCAAGAGCTGTCATTTCGCTGAATCATATCTGTAGTACCCACTTTGTACAACATTTAATAAATTTTAAAATAATTTAAGTGTTGGCAAAATGTTGTTGTAAAAAACTAAAAGTAAAAACTTACAGAAATAATAGAGTTTCAATATTTTCAGTGTCAAAGATAGTTTTGACATTTTGTATTGCTACAAACTGGCCAGTATTTTACAAGGCTGGGAGTTCAAGTTAGCCATACATACGCTCGTGTAGCTCCTAGAAAAAACAGTCTTTCCTAACAATGTACAGAGAAACCTAGAATCTCTGACATACTCCTTAGTGAAAGAGTGGGGATTGAGCTTGCACAAAACCATCCAAAAATATTTCTCCAAGTATTGGAGTAAGTCATTACTGAGCACAAAACTTGCTCTGATGCCCTTTTCAAGTTTCTGGGGATGTCTCATAGACTAAATAATCAGATTAGTATCTGCTAAAATTAAATTGCCCCTTATTTCTGGAATTGTCCTTTATATGGATATTCAATAACATCACAGAGAGTCAGTTTATTGTGAATGGACTTCAATATCCATAAACCTCAAAGGACTTCAGAAGCAAAACATAGGTATAATTATGTTTTCCACAAAATTTTTGTGAGGAACTTGGCAAATTAGTCTCTTTATTGTAACGGGATAGATTTTTCATCTCTGTGAATAGAAAACACACACTGGCTTCCATATTTTAGGTGCTGAGTTTCTGATATCTCTTGCTAGGATTTGTTCGGGGCTTTTTGAAAGATCAAATTAATATTTTATTTCTGTATTTACAACACTTGAAAGAACTTGTTGCTTCAGATAGATAGTGCAAAACTGTCTACATTTCAGAGTAGTATTCTTTCTGAAAATGTTTTTTTAAATTCAATTAGTATGTATAACAAAATCAGTAATGAGCTCAAGATGCATAAGGAAGATTCATTAGCATGGTATACTTAAACTTCTGTGTCATTTTGCCTGGAATTTTAAGTTCTTTTACCATCTGCCCTTTGTTCAACAGCTGCATTATTGCAGCTAAAATGTTTTAATCTGCACTACGTAAAGTTATTTTAAAATTAAGGACTACAGATAGCTTTTGTCCTTGCTCTTCATGTGACATTATTGTCCCATAATAAATATATCTGAAAACACAGTTTGGAGTTTTTCAAGACAGGCTGAAATATTGTAAATGCTAAAATTGCCTTTTTTAGGTACAACAACTAGAAAGAAGATTCAAAGCTATTGAAGAGGAATTAAAGAAACAGAAGTAAATAAAGACTTACTGAATGAGAAAGTGTATTTGAAAGAATCTTTAAAAGTGCAAAAGAAAGATGCAGACACAAGAAAAAGAGAGCTGGAAACACTACTTAAGAGGATTTTTGAGGTAAAAAAAGAACTTCAATCCATGATTGATGAGAAGGAAAAAGAAGCTGCCTCTTTGAAGAGGCAAGTGACAGAAGCTAACAGGTTGAGAAATGAAAGTGAAGATTTGCTGAGTCAAGCGCAGGAGCAGAAGTGTTTGCTGGATAAAGCCAAAGCAGTGGCAATCTCTGGGTAATGTAATTGCAAGATAACAGGCACCAAGGTTAAATTAAAAACAGCCAAGAAAAAGAGCTCTTTGGGACATCATGGAGCTTTTCTCAAACAGTCCATCAAGGTTATGAGTAATGTGTTTGAGAACTTCAGTAAGGACGGCTGGGAGGATGTGAGTGAAAGCAGGTACGGCTCTCATTAACTTAGCCCTGTAGAGGGGACACTGTGCATATGTAAAGCACTAGCAAATGGAGATTGAATTTCAACTACTGTTGATTTGGTATTCAAAAAAAATACTGTCAGATCCTTTGAAATATCTTGGGAGGTCTTGTTCGGAGCTTATTGACTGAAATTTGCATGCGAAATTAGCCACAACTGCATGAGTATTTGAATAGGTGCCAGGAAACCCAAAAGAAGGCAATGCTTGATTTCTTCCAGTGATGCTATTTTCATGCAGTCATGAGGCTTGAAATTGACAGTTTGGCAGGTTGATTTAATTTGCTGGCCTTTTGCATATTCACCACTGACAGCTAAGGATTCCCAGGCAAGCCTAGTAAGTCGGTTTAGTTATCTTGTGACATGCCGACCCGGGAGGAGAAACATTTTTTCCCCTTAATTTAGTTAGATAAATTTTGAATGACCCATTTCAGCTTGCTAGCAGATGTCTACAAGCTGTTTAACATCCTTTAAATTAAGAACCATCCACACTAATTATTTCCTGTATGTTTTATGCAGTCATTGTACTAACTTTAATTGAATGATGGTTAAAAATCTTTAAAGGTGATGGTTACCACATACAATCCCAGTCATGAATCAAAAGGCTCTCAGAAAATTCCACTGGCAAATGTCATATAAACAATAAGAATTTTTGCTTCTTCTTATTATGTCCCCATATACTTGAGGAGGCAGCAGTTAGCCACTAGGTAAATGGTTATCACTCCTTGTCTTTCAGGACATTGTTCTAAGAAACAAGCAAAGAAATTTCTCAAGCCTGTATGTCTTATATATTCCAAGATACAGGAAGCATGGGAAAAGAGTAAAGAAAACAGAATTGTCTTCATAGGCTTTATACTGGCTCTATGTGTCATATGGAGCAAATCAACAGTGGCAAATAAAGCCTTTCTACTACTTCTCCCCATGCAAAATAGGGGGGTCCTGAACACAGTATCTAGAGGGAGAAAACAAATTAGGAAACATGTACTTAGTCAGTTGTTGTCATTAATGTAAAGGTTGGGGGTTTTTTATGTATAATAAAATATTGCAGATCTGATTTTAATAAGAAACATACATGTTTGCACATGTGGAAACATGTATACATGTTGTAATTAGTGAGTATTTAATTTGCTATGTTGCTCTCTTTAAGAAAAACATTGAGCAAGCACATTGTCATTCCACTTATAATTTGAAATGAAAAGTGTTTACATAGCTTAACTTGTGGCTAGATGTAAATACAGCTTTTAATAATTGTACAAATGTTGGGTTAGAGAACTCTTGTCATAGAACAGTGAATATTGTTGAAGTTTCAAGGTGTTGAAGTTTCAACAACTTAGGGAAGTATCTTAGTTTCCTCTTCTGCTTATTTATACGATTCTTTATTTCTAGTAGCTGGCTCTGAGGTTTTAAATGCAAGCCTTCAATTTTCTAAATAGAACATTCCTTAAAGCAGGTGAGGGAAATGTGTATGTAGTTAGAAATGTCTCTGTGGCTGTACACCAGCTCTTTTAAACCAATGCATTGATTTTGTTCTCATAAATCAGTGAGACATACCAATGTGTCAGGACAGGTTTTAAAAAGTATAAACATGTTTATGTGTTAACTCGTCAGTTTGAGGCCTTTTCTCTGGTTAAGTAAATGCATCTCTAAACCATGGATTTTTTATGGTGATGTAACTTCATTTGAGCTCAGTTACGCTGTGTTAAATACCTTGGTTTAAAAAGTAACAAATCAAACTAGCCTTCTGTTTAGGGAGTCCTTCACAAATCCACTCACACAAATGATGATTTATACCCCCTGATGTTATAGAAGAGGATATATCCAAGACTTCAAAGTAAACTTCCCTGAATATAAGAAAGCAAATGACAATGTGGGGTAAGGCAGTGAAAAACTGGAAATTACGAGTACATTGAGTGTAATTCTAAGGAAAAATTGTAAGAAGATTTAAAGTTTCAGGTCCAGTTTCTCTGCATGGCAGGAATCTCAGTGAAAGGATTAACAAGTTTACAGAATTTAAGGGCATTCAAAAGGGGTGGTGAATAGAGCTTTCACTGAATTGTGATTTCTGAGTTTGTCTCAGTCAACACTATAAATAAAGTGAAACAAAATGTTTTTAAGAATTGTGCATTTACATGTTATATTGTAAAATGTGAAAATGAAGGAAAGTAGAAATTTAGTAGTTTATGAGCCATTCACATTCTAGAAGTACAGTCAAGTATTTTTCATTTATTTCACTTCTGTGAGTTGTCACAAAAGTTGTCTTAAGAAGCAGCTGAAGTCTCAGGCCTCTGCATTGTAAAGTGAGATTGCATTGACAGAGTAGAACTTGATAAAATTATTTCAGAGATAGATTTTTACTTTATTGTATTTGTAAAGTTTATTTCTTTGTGCTTATGCATTAACTCTGGAGTGTTTAATATTTAGATTGATTTTGGTTTTGATGTTTTTAGGGGGGGGTTGGTTTTGTTTTGGTTTTTGTTGTTGTTGTTTGGGTTTTTTTTATTTGGTTGGTTTTTTGGTTTTGTTTGTATTTTGTTTTCCTACATGTGCTGCTTTAGTGACTCTGAAATAGCAACTTCTGAAAGTTTGGAAACAGTGATTAGGAAGACAGTGCAAAACACTGATCCACTGCCAGACAGAAGTAAACAAGAAGAAAAAAAAGCTCTGCAATGTGCTTCATTTAGAAGTCCAAAATGAGGAATATTATAAAAAGGCATCTATTGTTTTGTTCTCATGGATGGAGTTATGGAGTTTAATATTAGCACTGCTGTCTGCTTTTAGTTAATTTGACTCTCAATATAGAAGTGTAAACCTGTTTCCAGATATTCAGTGGGTGGATTCATTATATTTTAGAATATTTTCTGAACAGTAAGTCTGCTATCATGAATTCATACTGTTTAGATGCCAGGCATCCACCAAAGCCTCTTGTTCATCTGTCTCCATAGCTGGACAGGGGAGAGAATGTATAACAAATGGTTTGTGGGCTCAGATAGGGATAGAAAGAGATCAGTCATCAAATACTGCCAAACTTGAATTAGACATATAAATTAAATTTTTTTACTAACAAAATCAGAGGAGGATAATGAGAAATAAAATAAGACCTTAAAACCACTTTATTCCCACTCCTCCCTCTTTGCCAGCTCTACCTCCTTCCCCCCAGCAGCACATGGAGACAGGGCATGGGGGTTATGGTCAGTTCATCACATGTTGTTTCTCCCACTGCTCAGGAAGGGGACTCCTTCCCCTGCTCCAGTGTGGGGTCTCTCATGGGAGACAGTTCTCCATGAACTTCTCCAATGTGAGTCCATCCCATGGGTAAGGCCCCCACAAACTGCTGCAATGTGGTCACTCTTCTACAGGGTGCAGTCCTTCAAGAACAGGCTGCTCCAGCCTGGGTCCCCCATGGATCACAATTCCTCCCAGGAAATCTGCTCTGGTGTGGGCTCCTCTCTCCCCAGGTCCCTGCCAGGAGCCTGCTCCAGCACAGGCCTCCCACGGGGTCCCAGCCTCCTCTCAGGCACCCCCTGCTCAGCTGTGGGTCTCCTCCACGGGCTTTAGGTGGATCTCTGCATCCCTGTGATCCTCCATGGGCTGCAGCTGCTTCAGCATGGTCTGCACCATGGGCTGCAGGGGAATCTCAGCTCCTGTCCCTCCTTCTGCACTGACCTTGTGTTTGCAGAGCTGTTCCTGTCACATATTCTCTCTCTGCTCTTCTCTGGCCACAATTACGTCTGCAATGACTTTTTTCCTTCTTAATTATGTTTTCATAGAGATACTATCATTTCTAGTTGGCCCATGGTGGGTCTGTCTTTGAACTGGCTGGCAATGACTCTGCTAGACATGGAAGAAGCTTCTGTCAGCTTCTGGCAGAAGCCACCCCTCTAGCTCCCCCACTACCAAAATCTGGCCATACAGACCAAATATACCTATAAAACTGTTTGGACAGAAAGTGAAAGATGATTTGAAAATGTAAAGTTGCTGTACAAGCTAGTGGTGCTGTTTCACAGTCCAAAGAATGCCACAGGCATCCCATTGAACTTTCTCTCAGTCAGAAGCACCATACAGAGCAGGCTGCCCTAACCTGTAACAGGGAGATAACAACACCCCTCTCTCCCTCCCTTCTAGCCAAATGGTGTGCTGACTGATCCAGCATAAATATCTCTCAGTTCGTTTGTTGTGCACTGGATGAGTTTCTTCATCTTAGAAAGATGCTTTTGACTCTCTCTGTGTCCAGAAGATTCTGTCTTGAGAAAAGTTTGCTTTTAGCCTCTTCTTAGCCTATTTACATGGATTGTCTGGGATTTGAACTGCTTGACTCATTGCTAACATCTATACGCTGTTTTCTCACAGAAGAGGGCCAGCTGGTTGTGTCCCAGGTCTTAAGAGGCTCTATACAATCTGTAACAGATGACTCATTCTTGGACTTTTTAACAGTGCCTAATAGATTTTCCCTCCTATGTTTGTCCAAATAAATCACTTAATGGAATTTTAAACATAACCAGATATTATTATTTCTTTGTTCAAGAAACAGAATACTGAAACACTGAACAACTTGCTGCTTTTAGATAACTAATTTGAAATTCAGTATTTTGAATGGTGATATAACACAGTTTGAAAAAAGATTGTTTCCTTAGTTTCCAAAATTTTAGTCCAAATGCAGACTCTCTGGTCTTGTTACATATTCTTGATGGTATTATTTCATCAATACTTTTGGTGAAATAAACTGAAAAAAAGAAAATTCTTCTCCATTAATCTATGAAGATCTGACAGAAGTGTGCTACTGTTGTTAATTTCCTTCTACTCTTGAGTGAGAACATACAAGGCAGGGAAGCCAGGACACTGTCCTCTCTTCATTGGCTATACTGCCACTACAATTTCTGTAGGGCCTGTATTTCATTTACTGTCTGTTCCTAGTGGAGAAGATAGATACATTCTGATAGACATTTGTAACTGACTGGTGGAACTGAAGCAGACTCAGGAAGTATCTGGAGAGCATTAAGCAGTTAAATTTGCTTCAATAGAACTCCTCTATTGCAGGAAAAGGATTTGAAAACATGGTTTATGAGTGTGAAAGAAAGTATTGCACAAATAGCATTAGCCTTAGCAGTTGGGAACACCAGTTTAACAGAATTCTTTAATCCATCCAAAGTATTTAAGTACCCTACTGGTGGGTATTCTCATACAAAGAGAGGCTAAAGATATTTCTGAAGTCTTGAGCTGTGCAAGGGGTTGGAGATGAGACCATTTATGATTCAAGGACTTGGTCATTTTTTCTCTACCTGGTAGGAATATACAATACCCTGTGCAGTATTAGCAGAGTTACTGTAACTCTCTTACAACTCATACATTTATTAGAGCTGTGGCTTAGAGTGGAGATCTCAGTCTTTTTGCCACAGATGTGCTTGTCGTCTGCTGAGAGCTCAGTTCTTGGTCTTTCAAATTGTGTGGTGATTGTACTTATCTAGAATTTATGGCTAAGTTATCCTGCAATGTCAGCAATTTATTCAGTGCAGTTGGTAGAGAATGCGTTGGTCTTCACTCTTTTAAATTTGATTAACAGCTATTTAAGATATTAATATTCCCAGGAATATGTTGCATGATATGACCTAGAAATTGAAATCTGAAAACTTAAAAAAACTGGAGAAAGATTGCAGAGTTCCTGATCAAAAGTGTTTAAATATACACTGAGCATTTAATACCTAGTAAATTAATACACAAACCCACTGACAGTCTGTTGCAAGATTTGTTTGTTTGAATTTGTGTGTTTTCAGATATTTAGCTCATTATTTTAAGGTGAAATTCTCATTAAAAAAATGACTATCAAACAGCATCTTTTCACATAGTTAAAGTAAGTTTTTACTAAGTCCCACCTAGTGAATCCACTGACTGATATGAGGTTTTTCATTACTTTTTGTTCATGTTTGCCCCTTGTAGCCAACATAGCCAATGAAACAAATTAAATGGGTTTTGGTTTAGACCTTAAAAAACCCCCAGCCTGTTAACAAGACACTGAAGCCTCTATTTTTGATAATCTTAATCAGAAATTCAAAACACATGTAACTTCCAAGTCCTTGTTGATTGTTGCCACTTGAGGAAAAGCACAACATGGAGTGTTTATAGGTTGACTGTTTTATATGTTTTATGTTTTTATAGGTCAGTTGTTAATTTACCAGTATACTTACTAAAAAATATTTTCAAGATTTCAGGAAGTGTCTTGAAGGGCCAAAAAAAAAATCATAAATCATGTTACTTATGATGATTTTGTCCATTTAGTAATATGCCATTTTATGTTCAGTGAGCAGAGCAAAAGGGAGAAATATCACTGTCCAGAAACCAGGCAACTCTGTTACTCTATTGCAGGAAAAAATTAAGCCACTGCAGAAAGTAGGTAGCTGTTGTACAGAGGAAAAAAAAGACAATGGTGACTTCCATTAAAAATGTTAAACAAACCAATGAAAAATTAACAAGTCAGCTACATTTGGCTGATCAGAGACTTCAAGTTAATAAATTGACCATAGAGGTAAAGTACTTTTCATTATAGTGTCTTGCAATGGTCACCTTAATTCTAGTGCAGTTCTGTGAAATTTTGATAACATTGATTTTTTGTATTTTTTTATTATAGTAAAAATTATGAAATATTATGTATTAGCATGCTTTGTGTGAGATACTTATTATGTGCAGATGGTATTAAAGCTAGTGCATCAACGCAATTCATTTATCGTTTTGAAAATAAAGTGGTCTTGCATTCAAATGAATGAGGTAAGTTTCACTTTTAGCCTGTGATCTGCAAACCTTCCTGAGAATCTGGTTAGTCCAGAACTAGTGCCTCTTCCTCTGTGAAGAACAGGCCCTGTCTCCGTACACCCCAAGACAACTAGAGTTTTCTTCCGAAGGGGACTCAGGCCCATTCTCTATCTATTTAATCCCATCTTTCTCTGTTAAGGTGAAAAGCCAAAAAACAAAGTTTATGGAAATAGAGACTATTAAAGTATTTAGTTAACAACCCAAGGACACAAACTTTCTTCTCTGCTTCAGTCTTCATTTCTACTAAATCCTTTTCCATGCTATTACTCCTTTCTGGTTTTCCCCATTCTCATGTATATATGTATTTTGTGTTAATCTATATGCAGCTCCTCAGCTGGAATTCTTTTCTGTTCATACTGTAGTGATTGGCCTGCCCTTTATAGAGCTGAATCAACAAACACTTATGCAGTAATTGTCTCCTGTTGGTCACACACACATCCTGCTTCCAGAATTATAGTGCTACAACAGATGGACTTGCTGGAAGGAGGCAGACATTAAAAAAGAAATCAAATCCCCTCCCCCTCAAACTTCTGTGTGTTTTTGTCTTTGCACAGAAGGCAGAAGCAGTATCAGGAGCAGCACTTTTCACTTTCTTAGGACTAGGGAACTGCTAATTTCTAGAGGAGGGAAAACTTCATTTCTGTTACTCATTTTGCATAACTATGTATGTGTAATGAATTGTTTAAAAAGAGTTTTCAATATCATTGGAACCAGTGAAGATCTGCCTATCTTACAAACAGTATCATAATATAAAGTTTCATGGACAGTATAAACTTCACAGGGAACTATATGTGTAATTTAGCGGAAATGTTCTGATTTCTCAGACATCTTCATGATTTGCCTTCATAAAAGACTACTCCTTAGGTATCTATTGAAGAGCAATGTGAGAAATAAAATAGAAAATGCTGTTATCAGTGAACTGTTAAAAAAAAAAAGAAAATAAATGGGGGGAACAAAATTTATGTAACGATAAGAGGTGCAGTAATGGAAAAGACTGACTAAAATAAAAATAGCATTGCTTTAAAACCAAACTGGTTTTCTATCACTCATTTTTTCTGGAAGATTTAAAAAAAAAAAAAGTCGCTGGTCTATTTAAAGGGTGGTGCATTCTAAGCAAAAATAAATAAAGAGTGTTTCGGGTACTCAAGGAAAAAATCTTTATTAGGCATGCACATTTTTTTCCTTCTCAGCAAACGATTCAAATTCCCTTTCTTACAACTAATTACTCTTCAGGTGCCATACTAGTGCTACCAAGTGGGATATTTAAAGCAGAGGCTTGGGCTACTTGCCAAGTGAAAATTAAGGAGGTAAAGAACCTACACAGTCACTGCAGGGTACACTCATGTTTTAGAGAGAGAACCCTGATTCAGACAGATCTAATGGTTCTAAAGCACACTTGTGTGGGGGACTTGTATGGGTTGTTTTTTTTGTTGGTTTTTTTTTTTTTTTTTGGTAAGAAATGATATCTAGAAGTGAAGTTTTTAGATACTGCAGGAGAAATAATGTTTTTTAAGGTTTTTTTGTTAATACTTTTGTTACTTTAGATTTTAGAATATTCTTGAAAGGTAGAAGATAAAAAACAAGCAGTCAAACCATGGAAAAAAATACTGACACATCTCTAGATTTGGAGAAAATCTTAAATACTTCAAGAGTGCCAAAATTACTAATATCCAAAAATAAGCATCTACAGTTAACTGCCATAACCATAAAGTTCTGGGTAAACTTACATTAATAGTGAACTTTTGGTCCTAGGCTAAGGTAAATTTAGCTCTCTAGCGACTGTTAACATTAAAATCATGGCTTGGACAAGATGCCATTTTGCCTGAATTTATCTAAGAGAGTAAATGCTTTAGCAGACAAGGACAGATGTTTCTGCAGTCAGTCCTTCATTTTAGTCCCCAGAGACTCTAGAAGATCAACTCTAGATTTAAGATTTAAATATTCCAGATGTTCATTTTGAGACAGCTTTTACAGTTCATACAACCTAAGGGCCCTAGTATCTGCTGATTTTCAGAACATATACATGCACGGTCTTGTGTATTTTCTTGAAAATCCACCCAGGCATGTATGTAGTGTATATTTGTCTGCTCTTAAGAGTTCAGAATTCTGGATTTAAGTTTTGGTTTTGTTTGGCCTTATAAATGCTTTGCAGTAATGTAGATATCTGGCTTTGTTTGATTTCTGCAAAAGCAATTCCTTGCATATTTTTTAAAAAAATGGCTGTGAAGTGACTGCACATGTGAGAATCAACACTTGCATTCTCCAAGGATTCACGTTAACACTGAGTCAAGACCATCTGTACAAGAAGTACAGTACTTACATTTTGTTATTGGTGTATAGAAATCACAGCTGGAGCAGATACTTAATGTGGAAGCCATGGTATTTATTATTTTCTTAGTTTCTAAGAAAAGCATTTAAAAAAATTGTTGGGAAAATTCAGGATCTTTTCTCTAAGGTTTAGTGTTCCCTCTACTCATTTCTATCATTCATTACTTATAAGAAGAGGGGTTTTATTGCATACAACACAGTAATCATAATTAGTTTTGTGCAGTGTCATTCTTGTGGCAAAAATCCAGTCAAATTATATTGAAAAAGAAATTAAATCCATAAGCAGTTTAAGTCACTAGCGCTTCTCTTATTCATGTGAAGGTTATTCAAATGTCCACTGCTCAAATGTACCATATTTTTGCACTTCCAGTGTTTCTCAGATGATGTCATAGGAAAGCTGCATTTCTTTACAGAATACTGTGGGCAATTGCATAGTGCCTGTGTAAGTCTACTTCAAAAGGAAAATTGAATCTCAGAATAAGAACAAGTCAACTGGTCAAATTCTGACACATTCTTTAGAGGATAATGTGAAGGTTTCAGTGAAGTTTTTTTCAGATGCCTTCCTGCAGATATATTGCTACGCTTTTGCTGAACTGGGAAGGTGCTTTTAATTTTTTTTAGAAGCATATTTTAAATGTGAGCCAGACTACGCTTTTTTTTTTCCCGGCTGCATTTTAAATACACCTCCAGACTTTATTTTAGCTATTTGATTTTCACTTTTCTTTGAATTTTAAGGGAACTCTTTCCCCCTGAGATCTTAGTTTGTTTATCTAGTATATTATCTCAAGCATAGAAAGGTATGAGCATGAAAAGTAGAAAAGTAAAGTGCTAAAGGAAGCTTTTTTATTCTTTAAAGGTTGTGGCTTACTTTACATATTCTCTTGACTATTTTTTATTGCTGTGTATGAAAGTATAGGCAGAGTTTGGTGTTGTGTCTGCAAAACCAACATCACAGCTTCACTTCTCTTATGTACCCAAAGAAAACTAAGTCCGCCAATTTAGTATTCTTCGATTGCACTGAAACAAAGAAGAAGCTGATGATAAATTTAGATGCATTGAAAATTATTGACTGAAGTATTATTATATGCAAAGATATCACTTAAATTCTGGTTTTCATTGAAGATTTTTTTCACTCTTTAAAGATGTATTATCACACTTAATATAAGTATTATATTTTATATATACATACATATTATATATATGTTATATATATATTTTAACTATTTATGTATGCTTGTGGTTTCCTTAAAGTAAATTTTAGGAATAAATTTGAAATGATAAATGGAATTTTATTTGTAATTCTCCTGCAGTAGCTGAAACTGCTTTTGCCATTTCCTCACATTTTGTTCATTCCAGCAAATGTGTAATTACTTGGACAGAGTTTTTTGGGCTTCCTAGATAAATGTAGTCCAGTTAGAAATGGTTATAAACCTATCCAGTTATTTCCTGTCAAAACACTTCTAGAAATGTCCTGGTTTTATATATTTGAAGTGTCTTACATGGATGTACTCCAGAGAATTTGTGTATTTTTATTAAGTTTGTGAAAGATTCTGCATTTAGTATCACCTCTTCTAAGCTGAGTTTTGGATTTTCTTCTTCCTCTGGTACCATAAAAAGATATTTCTCATTTTGTACATTAGATAATTTTAATTATATCTATAGAAGATCTGAATGATAAAAATTTATTGAAAGTTTTAGAATTACTGAAATTTGGAAGACTGAATTAATCAAAAATAGTAATTAATAGAAATAAACTTTGTATAAAGTTACTGCTACATAGCATATGCTAAAAAGCATTTTTTATATTAGAAGAAAGAATGTGTATCAAAAGAATTAACATGTCATTGTAATATTACAGAGGTTGTACACATTTATGTAAGTATCACTAATATATCTATATCCAGTAGCTTAATATAGTAATGGAATAGACATTTAGATTATATAGATGATACAGAAGATATCCTGTAACTTTTATGTTCTTAATTTCATGTGATATGAGCTTTTTTTAATTCACCTTTCCTGTGATTTGATCAAACTTTCCTTTGCATTTACTCTTAATCTTACTATTGGAAAAAATACCCTGAACCAAAACAGAACTCAATTTGCATTTTTTTAAAGTAAAAAAATTCTCAAATAGGATACAGCTTGAGACCTGGAAAAACTCAACATGTACTATCATAATGGGATTTCCTTTTGTGTTCACATGAGTGTTTTTGTTGAATTCACTGTGATCTGCTCAGTAATTAAAGATAAGCATAAAGCTGCACTGGATTCTTGAACCTTCTCTACTATGTAAAGTCCTACAGATAATATATGGTTTTGTCAGAGGATATTTATTCACCATTAAATCTCACACAAAGAAGGTCATTGATTTGGGAATAATTATTT